CTGGCTCACGTCCAGCTTCCCACTCACCGGTACTCAGGTCTTTTTTTGGCAGGGCTATGCTCAATTGTTTCATCCCCCAATTTGTATTGGTAATGAGAATTGCCTCTACCGAGGTGCAAGACCTTGCACTTGGCTTTGTTGAACCTCATGAGGTTCACCTGGGCCCACTGCTGAAACCTGTCTAGGTCCATTTGGGTGGCATCCTATCCCTCTGATGTGTTGACTACACCCCACAGCTTGGTGTTACCCACAAACTTGCTGAGAGTGTGCTCGATCTCTCGTGTGTGCACTGTTGATGTCATTGCCTTGTACAAAATACAGGGCTTGGTCTTCATATCACATCTCGAAGATTCTTTTTGTCAGATCCTATCAAACAAAATGATTGAATGTATGATTTTTTTCACATTCTGAACACTTTACATTGATTATTGAATTTATTTTCTCAGTGTAGAACAGTGGGAGAGAATGGAAGTGTCTTTATTCCTGTTTCACACCTGTTAGACTGGATCAGAGAGATAAAGCAGTTGTATCTAGAGGCTTCTGCTGCAGCAGAAATAGAGCTCACATTTGGGTTGACTCACAAATGTCAACAAATGACAGCTGCTGAATTGCAGGACTCATGACCGTGTTTTCCCTCAGCTTCTTTCCACAGAAGAGTGCTTCATTCTGTTTTTGACACATGGCTATATTTGGAAAGTATAGAGAAGCCGTGAGAGATTCACAGTGTTACAATTAAAGGTCCTGGAAGAGTGGAAGGTTTAATCTTTTCAAGACCTTCACGAACAATGTAATCCTTTGGCTTTTGTTTCCAGGAACTTCAGTGAGGTCATTGATGATGCAGCAGTGCTTTACAGAGCACCAACTGTTCTTTTATTTACACAGTGGACGTGGCAGAATAAGAAATGGGGAAAAATGTGAAGGGAAGGGAGTCTCTTTGTCACATTTACTGTGCTCAATCTTATCAAGCTTGACTCATGATGCAGACAGATTCACTCTGAAAAATATTCTCAACATCTGACCTTAAAGTATTTAGAGCAACTGAATAATTGCAATAATTCATGTTTCTATTAGTAGGAGCCACTAAATATCCCTAACTAACCACATCTTCCTCAAAATAAATAAATAAATAAATAAATAACATAAGCAGAGCAGCTATTTAAAGAAAGAAAAGGGCAAGGAAGTCTTAATATGCTTTATAAATGTGACAGTGCTGAATGGCACCAATTTTCCAAACAACTGTTTCTCAAACTACTGCAAAGTAAATGGAGCCAGTGTACTATCAGGGTTACATCAAGATACAGCCTTACAGAAGTGATTCAAGGTTTTTCTTACCATTGTAGTTCTGTATCAAGCAGATAGTTGAGGAAGCTGGAGATTCAGTATTGTTCAATGAGGACCTTACTGAAGCACATGATGTTAGCTTTTTGGTTGGATATATTAAGCTAGATTGTAATCTGGGAAAAATTATAGCTGCTAACAGTGCGCTAACTCTCTTTGGACTTGCTGGAAGAACCTGTCAAAGCAATGAAAGTGCCAATGATATCACAAAGCACTTGACTGTGCAGACCCCAGCTTCTAAGAGTGTGTCACTCAGCAGTATTTTTTAACTGAAAATTAGATGTGAAAAGTTCTTTCTACAGTGCAAAGGAGAAATAAGCATCTAGGAGTGAGATACAGTGCAGAGCCTGCTGAGTAGAGTTTCCTGTGGAGATAAGTGGGAAATGCCGAGAAGTTCCCAGAAAAGGGCATTTCATTCACATGTGAGAAGCTGCAGTGAGAAGCAGCAGCATCTGGTAGGCAATTGGTTATAGCATTCACCTGGAGTGTGCAGATCAAATTCACAACCTTTCGGTGCTCATATCCCAGAGGAAATTGTGCAACCACCATGAAATTCTCTATGATAGGGCCCTCTCAGTTCCTGCATGTGTTTGGGACACAGAGATAGAGGATGATTTAATGTTCTAGAGGTTAAGATTTACGTCTCAGAAGAGAACGCTCTGTTTCCAGTTCCTAAACTTATGTATTTTCATGTGTTTTCATACAAAGTGTAGCAGTTTCAGCAGGGGTGGCTGGTTGAAGCTCACTTCAAAGGTCTGTGGTCTGGTGGCTGTGGCCCTTTCCAGATGGGAGGAAGATAGGTGACATTCAGCTAGAGCAGAGAGAGACCCAGATGTTTTACTTTGTTCATGTTCTAGATACCAAAGTGTTCATTCTAAATCTGGTCACCCACTTTAATTCTTCCCTGGAAATGTACACCAGAGGAAGACTTCCTTGATGTGAAAGATCCACAGTTTTCCAGGCACAGGAATGGCTAGAAATAAGTCTTGCTTCAGAGTGCTGCATAGACTTTTAGGCTTTTAGCAGCAGAATTTTGGACATATCAAGGACATACAAATGAAATCATAAAAAAAATAATTTGAATCGAAGGAGTTAGATTTCACTTATTATAGAATTTACATATTTCTGTTTTTATAGTGTTGTTGAAAATAATTTCATCGTTTGCTTGCTTAAAGCTGTTCTGTGGTGCAGCAATGACTAAACAGTAAAACAAGCTACATACCTGCCAAGTATATCGTGATCCCAGACCAGCAGCCTGGAGTTAAAATAATCCATCTAGCTCAGCAATGTGGATGCCATTTATGGCAGCGCTGTCAGTGGCTGGAAGTCTAACTCAGGGTTCCCTTTTTTATTTTGCCATCACTGCTATGAACCCACCAGGACAGGATTTGCAGTCACAAATGCTGATTCTCATGGTTTCAGCTCCCTGCATTGTGCTGTCTCTGGCATCACAGTCCAGCTGTTTATGCATGTCTATTATGTCTCCTCAAGGCATTCGTAAAGGAAAACAAGCTTCCCCTTCAAGGAAGGTAACAAACATCATAAACTCAGCTGCATTTTACAGAAATTACAGTGAGTTGATTCCTACTGAGCTTCAGCCTGTGGCACAGAATGTCTTGGATATTGCAGAGTTTTCATTGGGTTTCACAGCTGCTCAGTCAAGAAGTAACTTGTAAGATTTTTCTATGCTTGTGAGAGAGAACTGCATGCCTGCGGTGAATCTAATTGAAAGGCACAGATCCATAGTATCACCTTCGCCTGCTAAATGCTCCTCTTTATCTCAGCCTGGGCATGTGATCCTATGAACCTTGCAGCAGGCACCAACTACAGTGCAGAGACGAACTATAGTCTTGGCAGCAGTGTGTGCTTCCCTAATGCAGGCTGAATAGCAATTCTTGACTCCTATGAAATATCCTGTTCAGTGTTCAGGATCTGCAAAATGGAGCTGTGTATCTTTCCTGCAAGGTTTCAAATGTTACTTTCTCCTCTCATATTGCTTGCTGGAGCACATAGTGCAGTGTATTTCATTACGTGTTAACAAAAAGTGTTCTACAGTCTTTAAAAATACAGTGCCATTCCAGCACATGGTGATCATGAGCAAAAATCCACAGAGATAGAGGTACTTCTCTTCATCATTAAATGGTAGCCATGAGCATGAAAGCAAGATCATTTTTAATAGAGTGTGCAAAACATCTTAGGGTGAGAGGAGAGTCTCCTCTGGTGGAGACTGTGTCTACTAAATATTGGACTAGAAGATTCAGAACACATTGTTCTCTTCTGTCATGTCTGAGTCCTGTGTATGTTGACAGCATTGAACTGTTTGCTCCGCAGAGTACTGTTCTGACATCATATACCTGTTTATTATAGTTTTTCAGAGTTTGGTGCTGTCCATCTTTCTTATCTTAATTCAGTAGTGTGATGATGCCTTTTGAGATGCTATTGGATATGTGAACCATCTTCAGAGAGCCAGCTTGTTTGATAACAGAGATCTGTGCTCTGCTGGATTAGGAAATGATAGCTAAGTTCCTGATGGAAGTATGCGATGCTTTTATTTAGACAGCTGCGTAAAGTCCCACACATCTATGTTGAGGTCATGAGGTTCTAAGGTCGTACATACCAACCTGAAGACAAAAAATGCTAGTAGGTGTTAGTCATCTCATCCTGAAGTACACATCTAAAACAGCTCAGATGTACTGCATCCTAGAAATGCCTACTACTCTTCATTCCTTGATTTATTTATATCAAAGGAGTTTAGGTATCTAGCTCACATGTACTTTGCAAACACAAAAGTCAGATAATTATAATTCCACCCTGGATAGAGTACCTGATAAGCAGAAGCGATATCCTGCTGTTTCCTAATCATAAGATCTTTGCTTAAAAACTGTAAGACTACAAAGAAAGACAGAGACCAAACGTAGCTGTGGAGGCCGACATACCTTTGATATGGATAGTGTGCAGCTCATTAATTGGTTGATACTTGGCCTGCTGTGAGTAATGTGACAAAAAATCTTGTGGCGTTACAATGCTTAATACATCTGATTTTATTGTGGACTACTCGAATCAGAATTGGCTTGTACTATAACAAAGACATATAGTACTTAGATATTTCTACTCTAGATAATGTCTGTGAAGCTTTATTTTTACTTATAGAGTTATTGGATAAAGATCAAGTGATTGTGACTGAATATTTAATAGCACATATATCAATGAAGTTAGATCAATTGTTAAGATACAGTACCCAGAGTTTACTTTCAGGTTATTGATAGCAAATGTAGCTAATTAATATGATGATGGATGTAATATTGTTCAATGAAAGAGGAAAAAAAAAGGCAATAAATATAACTGTTCTAGGGTGGTTTTTCAATAGATTTTATATTCATATTCTTTCTGATAAACTGGGGTTTGGGGTATATAAGAGGAGCTGTGATTTTTAGACAAACTCTGATTCTCTTGTGCAAGACAGTTGCTCATAATTTGTGTATTGTTTGTACATGTGGCCACACATAAGGGAACAAACGAAAATGAGCAAAAGAAACCAAAACAAAAAGCCCCACATCATTAAACAATTGAATCTCATGACATGCAGAAATGTGCTTACTTTTTCACATCAGTTTATGAAGAAGTTTGGAATGCAAAATATGCTGTGTTCTTCTCCTTTCTAGGTCTCCTACGTAAAAGCTATTGACATCTGGATGGCCGTGTGCCTTCTCTTTGTCTTTGCTGCATTACTGGAATATGCAGCAGTCAATTTTGTTTCACGGCAGCACAAGGAGTTTCTGAGGCTTCGAAGAAGGCAAAGAAGACAAAACAAGGTATAGTTGCCCTTTACTCCAGGGGCCCAACTTTACCCTGACAGCATATTTGACATATAGGTTGATTTCTCACCTCAGTTCTTGCCCTCGATGGACAGTGTTGTTATAATGTTGATTTTTTGTGGTTTATTCTTTGAGAAGGTGTTGAAAATTATCTGCTGGCTTTATTTACAGTTCATAAAGATCAATAAATGTCAATAGACTGGTCACTGATTCCAAAAATTTTATTCTCTTCTTAAAATTGATGAGGCAGCTGTACCTTTACCCATACACTTATTAGCTATCTAGGCTAGACTGACCTCAGGTTTTCTTCTAATCCCCAAATACTGTTATTATATGGCGCCAACTAACAGATAAGGAACAACAGGACACAATGATACAGACAGCATACTAGCATTATTATTTCTCTGAATTCATCCAGAAATGCTAACATAAGCATATGCTTAAGACCTGTCTTTTCTAGTGTCTTTTCTTGCTAAAATTGGAGATTCTCTAACAGAGTCCCCTGTAGGTGTGATGAGCAGTTCTGCCCTCACTTCTAAACCAGCACTGAGCAATGTATTTCCCTGCTGAAATCAGCAAACCTAACCACTGGGAAAAAAGAAAAGGATTAGGGCAACTTCACATGTTATTACTGGTACTAACTTCAGATTTTTAACAAAAGAATGTTTTGTGAGGATTATGATTATATAATTTTATACCAACCAAAATGTAGAAGAGAGGCTTGTTTTTAATGTCGATATCAGTCTGGAAATATTTTTAAGAAGTCTGTCAGTGTTTCCTGATTTCTTATTTGTTAAAAGAAAAGGCAAGAATAGACATCAAACTGAATTTTAGTCAATTTATGATGAATTCCCACAGCTATAGCGTCCTTCCTGTATTTGTTTCACTGGAACTCAGTATCAGCAGAAACATTTAGGTTTGTATCTCCGCAGAAACAATTGCTAGGCAAAGTAAATATTCACTTGAGTCACATGCAAGTTTCAAGTTGCTAATAATGGTTTCCTTACTTTAGCAATAACAAGAATGGCATAGGGCATTTGTGTTTTGACAGGTCTGTCTAATAATTATTCTGTAGCTAATGGAATATTTGATGGATGCTCTGGGAAGCAATCCAGTACTGTCCTCAGATTTAATGCTGTTGACAGATGAATTGAGATTCTTATTCAGATTCTGAGAGGGAATAGAAATGCTTGCCTGTCTGTAGGCACACATGGCAGATACACTGCCACTAGAAACCTTTGTTTCCAGTAACGATGCAACAGCAGAAGATGATGTATGGAGTCTGTAATTTCAGTTTTGGGTATGATGTCTTCTTCAGAAGTGAACTAGTTGCCAAGACGCCACTACTGGTAAGTAATAGTATGGCAACAATGTCACTTGAAAATTATGAGATTTTGATTATGGTTTGGTTTTGGTTAGTCATTCACCTACTGTCAGAATGATTATTTTGGTGAGTATTAAGGGAAAGATACTTGAAACCTGATCATCTGAAGACACCACTCAAGTCAGTTGATTCTACACAAAATGGACGATTCCCTAATTAAGCACTGGATAACACTCTTTTGGTGTAAGATACACTTATCCGTTTGCACAGGGTTTCTATTATTTTTTCTATGAATCTGGTTGCACAAATTTCAAAATAGGGAATGACGATACTGAGACCAGCACTTTTTAAAGCATTTTCTGCGTCTCTTTACTTGAGTTTGTATTTCATGATTTTCTCTGTTTTGCCTTGAAAGTGGTTCACATTGTTTTGCATGATGGTCTTCTCTAACTGAGCCAATTCTTCTCTTTGCGTGTTATGTATGTGTTGTTGTGTTGCCATTGTGCTGTTCTTATTCTTGCTGCTGCTATGTATGCTGACACTCTGGGGACAGGCACAGACTATGACTTTTGGGAATGAAAGCGTCGATTCCGTGAGGCGCATGAATGGCTTGCAAAGAAAAGAGTCATCAGCTTACGGGACAGTGAATCAGATCGGCAATTCAAGTTTGAGGGTAAAACTGTAGTAAGAAAGAGAAAGCAAGAGAGAGCTTTAGTATGTGCAATGATGTCATAAATCAGCAGAATGGATGATTTTCATGACATCGCCAGTAGCCTCTTGCACTCTCTTTTCTAAATATCCCCACAAAATATGGAGTACTGTCCCCAGCATGAACAGCAATTTCATGTTGCATGTTCTTGTGGCCCGTCCTTATGATTGCTATTTTCCATGGTTGGATTGTGCTGTTTCTTCTCCAAACCTAAGGAAAGTGTATGTGTATTCTGTACCCTGGCCCTGTATATATATGGGGAGGGTGGGAGTTAGGGGACCAAATGTGGTGCAGGAGCATAGGAAGTGCTTTGACATAGAAAATACCACACTGTGTCACCTTTCAGATGACTGCATTCCAACCAAACTAGGTACATATAATGAAATGCATTTTACTGGTATGGTATTTATTTCTCAACTGTCAACCTGTGGTGTACCTTCTTGTCACGTCCTATACATTGTCTAGTGGAGTATGAAGAAAAAAAAATGTATTTCACTGTTTTTTTTCCAACTTGTTTTGAGAAGAGCCATGGGGCTGAAATTCTGTACACAGTGTGATGTGTAGTAGATCTGAAGCAATATGATAGCCACTGATAGATCCAGATTACGGGTGAGTTGTGGAAGTAATAAAATCAGTGATGGAGAGAGAAACAAGCTTAGTGTTCTGCTCATTGCTTGCTACTGGTGGCAGAGAAATGATATCCATTTGTTCAAATAAAAAAGGACTAGAATTTAAATTTTTCAGGACTTGGTTTTCCAAAACTAAAACATCATTGCCCAAATAGCTTTTGAGCCGTAATAGGCCTCTTACTTTGATCAAGGTTTGTAAAGTTATGTGATTATAAGATGTAGATTATTTTAGTGGATTTTCTTCACTGCTAGGGGAATTACTGGCTTTCAAAATCAAAGCAAATAACACAGATCCTGTTACACTGCAAAATTATGTTAGAGGGCTTGCAACGCAATAACTCATTCACTTAAAGAGCAACAATAACAAACAGCAGAAGAGAGTCTTCATTTCTGCATTCTTTCTACTGTAGAAATAATCACATTTACCCATAGGCAAAAATGAACATAAGCACGAAAGTTTTAGGGATAAAACCGATATTACTATGCTGCCGCTGGGAAGCTGATGTCATAACTCCAAAAAAAAACAGTACAAACAAAGACTTGCTATTGTCTGTCTGATCAGTCACATAGTGCTACTAGTCCAGCTAGGTTCATTTAAAACCCAGCTACTCTCTGACTGCAGAAAACTGGCGGAAATATCACTTCTACTTCTTAATGTCGTGTATTACACACACATCCAGCACTACACAAAGAGGGACCACATCTCTGTACTATTTTTGCTGCAAAATCCTGAGATCTGAAGATGTTCTGGAGTTGATTTCCCCTAGAGAACTCCCACTACGAAAGTGATTTGCTCTAGTAAGGTGGAGATTCCTGGAGCAGTGTTGTCATAGATGAAGCTTGGTACTTTTCTGCTCAAGAGAAGGACATTTATCTGCAGAAAGGAATACATCCTGTGGTCCCACAAGACACCTCCCAAGCAGGGCTTGTGGCTCCCTGAGTTATTGCTTACTAAGCTAAGGGCTTATGGAGAATGCAGACCTAAAAGTCACAAAAAAGGTGAATGACTGGCATAGTCAAGAAGAGACAGAAGAAAAGGGAGGTGGTTTAGTACTTACACTGCATTATCCAGAGCTAGTTTGAAGAAATAGACACCAAGACATGCCAGGTCAAGATTCCTGAATTAAGCAGATTGATCCTCAAAACCGTTCTCAGTTTTGTAAGCCTTCATCCCTGCTTTCATTATTGTTACTGCTGTGTTGTGTTCCTCATAGTGGTGTGACCTCCTCAGCATTGTATGAAAGCACGAGAAATCTGAGACTATCAGAAGTCAGGAAGGTTAATGCTTCTCCAGGAAAGTTTAGGTTGTACTGCTGACTGTCCAAAACTTGTAATTACAGCTGAACAATTGACCCATCCCTGTGTTAGAAACAACTGAACTGTTGTCCAGTTCAGGACCTGTTGCCACTTTCCATAAGGAATGAAACTGTATCCTCAGCCCTTCAGCCTATCTGCATTCTCCACACCATTTCTGCTGGAGGAAATATTCAGTGCTCATCCTAAAGATCTGTGTAGTCTTCCTGCTCACAATGAAATGCACTCAACAGTAGCCATATCTCACTGCTGAAATAAATGGTTGTTTATTTGCTGTACAATATGATATTACTTTTTGTGTAGGGAGAGTGCAGCCTGCAAAAGCCATGAGTCTGGTGGAATGGAGGATGTAATACAGTTGCACTATATTGAAGTCTAAATTTGCTTAGTGCCAGATCATCTGAAGAAAAACAACTTCTTTTTAAAATATTATTTGTAATAATCACAGATTTGGTTATTTTTCAAAATGATGGGTTTCTAGTGAAGCAGAGCTCTATTTACACAGCCTCTATCATCTCTTTTGGAAAACAGTAATTATTATGTTACATGATCAGTAGTCAAAATGAGTCACAGTCCACGAGTATTTATACCAGTGTCTCAAATATGACTTCCTGAATTACACTATGACCAAGAGTGGAGGTTAAGTTTGGGAATGTTAGTGTTAAAAGCAATACTTGGCAGCTTGAACAAAAAAATTGTGCAGCTGGAGGCTGTGACAGAATTTAATCTCATGTGTAGGGAACATGGAGCAATACAAATAACAGTGCTGCAACCAGGGGGGCTCAGATGCATGCAGATTAGCAGAGGGAGGCACAAATGGTGTTTTCAAATGACAGAGCTGGGACTGAGACTTAGTAATTACAATGGCAAAAGATAACTCTGCTAAGCGAAGGAGGAGTTACCTGGCCAAATGGTCAAGAGAACTGCTGATCTCTGGATAGAGCCTGCCCATGGGCAGGCAGGTAGCCACCAAAAAAATGCTGCCACATCTAGGTGATGAAATATTTCCATCTTTGAAAGG